ACTTTCAGGTTTTTTCAAAAAATTACTACTTTTCGCTCGCCTTTTGCCAGGTATGACTACAAATAACCTCTAACCTATGATTTTTCAGTTGGTTGAGACAACTAAGTATTCATTTCATTGAAGGCTAGCACGGTATGCTAAAAAAACTAAATTTAATATACATTTTGTCACAATGCGAAAACCTTTACTAAAGTTAGAGTAATTACTGTGAAAAAAATTTACCAGACTAAATCAGCAAATGATATTGAAAACAAGCTATTTAATGCTCTTTCAAAAGTAGTATAACATTTGTAAATTCTTTTTATTAAAAACTGGATAATTACAACTGTTGTCATTGAAGTCGTAATACCTGCGAAATACTACAAATGAAAAATAGTAAGTGCAGCTGTCTTTTGTGTGCAAATTACAACTTTGTAGTTGCTGTAATATCTTTTTATTTTAGCAAATGTCTAAAACTGCTACCCTTTATCATTTTTTATTCATTGTTGTATGTAGGCTTCAAAATAATGGTCACAACATTAGGTTGTATTCTTTATTTCCGTTGATTTTTACAACATTCAAATCAAATAAAGAATTAGGAATCATTATTAACATCTTAAATTAACTAAATGAAAATTAAATATACATCTTGCATTGTAGATATTGCCTGAAATAAATGATTATTATTATCATTATTATCGTTTTCACAACAGATTTTTAAAATGTCTACCACAGCGCACAGCCTCTTATACACCACCTGCATCTTCCTTTTAAACCTCTTAAACTTAAATCGGATATTTTGCGAGCTGCTTGATGAATTCCATGGTGTAGTTTATGGGCTGATCAAACTGATTTTGCATAGACATTATCTTTTAAACATCCCCAGTGAAAAAATCAACAGGCTTCAGGTCTGGGGAGCGTGGGGCCACAAATTTGGTCGTAGCCAGCCGATCCATCTTCTAGGAAATGTTTCATCAAGACACATCCTTGCTGCACTAGCATAGTGTGCAGGGCACCCATCATTCTATAACCACATCCTTCTTCTTGACTCAAGAGGCACATCTTCGAAAAGAATGGGTGAATGATGTTGCAAAATATCTAAGTAAATTTAAGTTTTCAGTATCATTTTCCGATTCAGTCAGGTACATCTTTTTTCACAGTGATTAGTTAAACTTTAGTAAAGGTTTTCACATTGAAATAAAATGCAATAATTTTTTTTTCAACATACCGTACCAACTATTAGTGGTAGCATAGGCAACAGGGCATATATTTTTTTATAGCCATAACAGACAAAATAAAGCAAAAAGTGGTAATTTTTTGTGAAAACTCAAAAATTGGCAGTATCTTGAAAACGAAAAACCTCTAACTAAGGTCATGTTGGTTTTATCTGATTCATCTGCAGCCAATTTACCTCCGGCGTTACTGTGGCGTGCTATTTCTGGGACGCCCTGTATATACGCTATACATATAGACACATAGACATGAACTACCGTATTAAATTTAATTTTCCTTCATACGTATCATGCTTGCAATTTCTTGTCGATTTTTCCCAATTATCATTTTTTTGGCTTCAATTCTGAATTCAGTTTTGTTTGAAATTTTTCTTATATCATTTGATATGTCGAATAGCCAGTGGGAAAGGCAAGCATCTTTGACCTATACTTTTGAGGTGAAAGGTGTTTGCATGATGTTGATTCTGTTTGTGGTTTGATAAGTGATCTAACGGAATAAGATGGTTGAAACTGATAAATTATAATTTTGTAAAGAAGCAGTTGCCTAGGGTATACCAGTTTTGCATCAGAATACAACAGATCAGGTGGGTACAGGAATGACTTTAGAAATTGTTTTTCGATAAAATCTAATTTATTCATGTGATTATCAGGTCTTCCAACCCAACCTGATATTGCATAATTCATACGACTTTCGGTCAAAGCGTGACATAAAACTTTTATTGTTTTTTTATTATATATATTTGTTAAAATATTTAAATTTAATGGTCGACGATTGTATCAATATGCATATTCCTCTTTAAATTTGGGTCTAAAGTATACACCTCGGTATTTTTACTTGTTGGTTAAATTTACTTGAGCATTTTTATTATCACAATTGATCTGTATAGAAACAAAGGATGGCAATTTGTTTCTAAGATTTTTGTATGGCATAAATATCGTTAGTGAGTTAGTAGATAAACATTTATGTCTGAACTAGTCTTCAATGATTATTAAGTCTCTTTGAAGCTTTTCCTTGAGAACATCGCATGATTTGTTATCCGAATAGATTATGGCAGCATCCTCTGCAAAGCATTTGATTGCCCCATCAGATTTTCAGCTAAATATAAATAATAAGGGGCCTTACACTGTCCTCCGTGGAACACCGTAAGTTACCAATTTGCTTGTGCTTAAGGCATTATTTATTTGTACTCACTGATTTCTGTTGGCAGGGTAACTTTTCATCGGGTTGTAGGGCTTGCCTCTGATTTCTGAGTAATGTAAGGTTTCTAAGACATGCAAGTGGTCTACTGTGTCGAAGGCTTTTGTTACGATCTAAGAAAACACACAAGGTATATTCACTTTTTTCCAGTAACTTGTATAATTTTGAAATGAAAAATGAAATTGCGTTTTGGGCAGACTCGTTTTTCTGGAATACAATTTGTTATCCATTAATCGGATTATGTTCATTAAAAAATTCAGAAGTCGTTTTTACAGTTTTCTAAATGATTTTTGCAAAGAGCTATAGGCTTGCAATGGTTGGTATCTGTCTTTACACCGGATTTATGTATGAGTCTCACTGTCCTACTTTAGTATAAATATTTGTTAATAACACTGATTAACGTCTTCTACCTGATGACGGCCACCGACATACTGTATTCCGGTGATCAAAAACGGATCAGAAATATGCTTAAGCCATCTATGAGACCGAAGCAGAACAAAAAAAATGAATCTCTCATATATCATGCAAGTATCTCTGAGCCTTTTTTGGACGCTGAAATAGAGTAATGGATGGCTATCTTCAGATATAATACGATAATCTATGATAATACCTCTCATATTGCGAGCACACACACAGTGCATTTTTAATGTCTCCCCTTTCAATTTTTTGAGCAAACTAGTTAACGAATAATAGGCAAAGACACAAATTATTTAGTAGTAATAATCTCAAATTGGCTGACTGGAGCGCTGGCAAAATTAGAAGCCTTTGTACATGGACGGGCCTATGACTCTACAACTAATCGTCGAAGCGTATGTTTTAATCCTCTCCGTTTCAAACGGGCTATCAGGATTTGTAATAAGGTACGGGCACTCCCACAAAAAGGTTATGGAAAATTTTGCAGTTTTTATTTTGGAACAGATGTTTAATATTTTGTTGTACATTCGGATAGACCATTCTGAAGGAAGGAAATTAACAGCGGTCACATACTAAAAGATTGGTCAGTGCTTAGAGGTTGCACTTCACTTTCCTATCTATTTTTGTCCACTGAACATGGATCTGAAGTTGGAATTGTCGGTCCCTGGCCATTAAAATCAGAGGTTTTGATACTTTTTTATGTATGTGCATCTCTCAAAAATATCAAGATTTGTAATTCTGATGTCTACATTACTTTCATATTTGTCCTTCGATCTCCCATGTTGACTATATTTGTATCCAGTGTGCAAAACGCATAGAAAAAATACGGTAAGACACCAGCACACACCACATTTGATTTTTTTCTGAACCTGTGATATGATTTTTATCATTTTCATGCACTTCCTTCAAAGTTTCTTCACCAACCCCCAATTATGATTTTAAATTCGTCTCCAGCAAAAAAAAGTACGTGGAAAAAATATGGTGGAACCTCCAGCATGCACCACTTTCTACTTATTTATACAATTATTCGTATAATCATTTATTTATTCTTTGATTTACTCATTTATTTATTAATTTATTTATTTATCCATTTATTTATTTATATAATTATTTATTTCCTCACTGTTTTCTGACGCAAAGGTGTTTATTTGCTACACTTTTGACTCCACCCCACTCGATTCACCCTCTTGCTTCCAATCTTCTTGCGTAAGTCATTATAAACATACTATTCTGCAGCAGGGGCGTCTGGTCCTTAAGTTCTGCAGAGCTGCAGAACTGCCAAAACGTTTGTCTTAACAGAAAAAAGCAGTAGTAATTTGATCATTTTTATTTTCCATGTTATCACACAAATAGAAACAATACCGGCAACGCTGCCCCCGCAAGACACAGCGTCGAGTCTGTTTTGTATTGAGAAAGCAGTATAATCGACCAATTGTATACTTGTCATTTTCGTCGCGACGGTAGCGTAACATTATTCATGGGCCACTTGAAAAGGGTCTGTGCACTACTACGATACAAGCCGCACGCGCTTGCTTTTGTCTCTCTCTACAAAATCAAATTCGCCATTTAAGCATAAACATGTGCTGCACGTTATACAGATGCAATGCGAAGTACGATATCTGATTGGTCGGTCGGTGCTCGGTATAAAATTTTGCGGTGCATTTGAATTGGCGCTACTATACGGGGCCACCACAAAACCGAGAGCTCCCAAAACCCGGGAATATTTCGTGGAGTGATTAATTTTTCTGCTGAGCTTGATACAACCTTAAGCGAACACATAAAAAATGCTTCAATATTCAAAGGAACTTCGAAAGAAATACAAAACATCTACTGGATTGTATTCATGAAGAAATAATAAAACAGATTAACAGAGCCTCGTATTTGGCGATAATAGCAGATGAAGCAACGGACATTTCGGGGAAAACCCAACTGGTAACAATTTTCAGATACGTATTTAACGGCGAACTAGTAGAACGTTTTTGGAATTATATGAATCCCGAAAAATGTGACGCTGATACTCTCACAGGACATATTTTAAGCGTCGCACATCCATTAATACGAAATTTCCCTAACAAACTGATTTCACAAAGCTATGATGGAGCCGCGCTAATGAGCGGACATAATGCTGGAGTACAAGCAAAATTTAAACAAAGATATCCATTGCTATGCGCAAATGCTCAAGTTCGGGTGTTCTTTGGGGATTTGAAAGATATTCCGGGATTTTTTAATAATTCTCCTCAACGCGTAGAGGTACTGAACAGAATTATGGGAAAAAAAATTCCCCAAGGAGCAACATTAAATGTAGTGTTTGAGAACAGAGAATCACTCATTGCATGCATTGAAGAAATAGAAGAAAATTTCACTAATGAAACCGTTTGCAAGGCGGCTTGCGGTATTCTCCGTATGTTAGACGATTCTGTTTACATGTTTTAGTTGACATTTTTTCATCATGTCATGCCTCACGTCGACATCTTGTTCAACCAGTTGCAGAAGAGAAAAACCGAGCCAGCACAAGTTAAAACGGCTATCGATAATTTTGAGAAATGTTTTGTCGATGTGAGAAATAAAATTGATGACAGAATAAAGGAAGCCAAAATTATTTGCACTGAACCCCAAGGCAACAAAAGGAGACGACGTAATAATAGCAGTCACGATCACCCAGTTGCCGCATTAGAAGTATGCGACAATATAGTGAATTCTGCAAATCGCAGATTTCAATTCAAAGATCATTTGGTAGCCGCATCCCTTTTTTTTTCCCGAACACTTTGGAGAATACTGTGGTAAGTTTCCTGATGACAAGTTGGAAACTACCTGCTTGGCTTATCCCGAATTAGAAAAAAGTCGTTTAAAGACAGAGTTGTCTCTCTGTCTCTTTTGAAATTTTTGATACAAAATAGTTTGTAGGAAATACTAAAAGAAACGAAAAAGCTATTAGAAATTATTGTTACAACTCTTATGTCAACATCAGAGTCTGAGCGAAATTTCTCAACATTGAAAAGAATCAAGAAATTTCTTCCAACTACTATGACCCAGGATCGCCTTACAGCGTTGTCAATGCTGTCCATTGGAAAGGAATTTATTTCGGCCATGGAAAATTTCAACGAGAAGGTGATCGACAAATTTGCTGCCAAGATGGAGCGCAAGATCGAACTGACATATAAAAAACAGGTAAGTCTGGACTTGCAGAACACCTGTTTTATTTTGCCACGAGCCGGCACTGTTCTGCAGTCATTTTACATAGCTGAAGTACGAAGTATCTATGATTGAAATCCTTGAAAAGTTTCAAAGCTGTTATCAGGGGCATTATCCACTTTTGTGTAGCGCTGTACAAACCAGCTTAATATGGAACTTTCTACATTCTCTTAGCAGTCTTGGCTAATGGCGCGATAACCTGTCCAATTTGTTTAGTCTGACCACAAAATTATATGTCTGCTGGTATTCAATACTATTGATAAACATATATTGGTAGTATTGAACGGATTTTGTACCATTCACTTGGATTCGTCATTTTTACACTGTGACTAGAATCATCCGTAGCATTGAAAGCGAATATACGTACAGTAATGGATAAAAGTATATAGACAAATATGAATATTTACCTGAATACCTGTAGAAAACGAATTCATACTTCATTGCTCCATAAACAAATGCGTTATTAGTGGAAAAACTAAATTCCTTGTTTTTGCATTATCTGCAATGAACACAATACAAGTCTAAATATAAGAACTTGTTTATGAGTGACAAAAGTATGTAGACAAATTATTTTAAACATTAGTTTAGTACAGTTTCGTGTCAGAAGAGGATTAGTTTGTGTTCATCAAGTATTGTGGAATAAGTTGCCAGAAATTTGAAGCTGAAGCGTAGAGCAGTTTGGGCAATATTGAACAAATATAAACAAAAAGGTATCTTGGAAGCCTCTAAGAGAAGTGGCCGGCCTAGAAAACTAAACGCTAGATCAGTTAGATTAATAAAATTAATTTCGTCCAAAGATCCGTTTAAAACCCCAAGAAAAATAAAATCCGAAATCGAGACAAAAGGAATTGTCAGTGTTTCTACGAAAACTATAGGTAGAAGATTAAATGATTTGAAGTTATTTGCACGTCGCCCAAGTAAGAAGCTGCTAATCTCGAGAAAAACCGTAAGGATCGATTACAATTTGCACGGTTGCATCTTGATTGGAGCATCTGTGACTGGAAGAGGGTATGTTTCAGTGACGAATCCAAGGCCAATATGTTTAGATCAGATGGTGTTCATTACGTTAGACGTCCTAGTGGACAAAGATTGAACCCACTGTCAAACATGAAGGCGGGTCTGTTATGGTTTGGGGGTGCTTTTCGGGGTTTGAGATGGGACCTTTACATAGAATAGATGGCATTATGGATAAGTTTCTATACACAGACATACTAAAGCATGTCACGTTACCCTATATGGAAGACAATATGCATTTAAGATCAATCTTCCAGCAAGATAATGACCCGAAGCACAATTCAAATCTCGCAAATACATTCTTTCTGGATGAAAAAATACCAGTCCTCAAATGGCCTTTACAGTCTCCCGATATAAGCCCCATTGAAAACCTGTGGGAATACTTAGATGAGCAAATACGAGATAAAAATTATTCAAACAAGGATGAACTTTTTGCCGCTTTAGAGCAAAAGTGGAGACAGATTGTTGAATCTTATATCAAGAAACTTCTACAATCTATGCCGAGACGATGCCAGGCGGTGATTGATAGTAATGCTACAAAATATTAACATAAACATGGTTGGTTTTCCATAATTCAATGAGCTTTACTTTTTTTTCTATAATTGCTTGCTTTGCCTATATTTTTTTGTCCATAGTTCCACTTTCTTCAATTAATTTTTTATTGGATGGAGTCTAATGAATTTATTTATGTATAAAAGTATTATGCTATAACGGATTATGTATATAGTGTATTAATGAAACAAGCTAAAAAAGAAATACAGCACAATATTAATTTGTCTATATACTTTTGTCCATTACTGTATATGGAGGAAGGATATCCATCTAACCTGGTTTCTACACAGTTTTGAATATTAAATATCCAAATTCCAGCTCTAAGCTCCACAGTGCCTCGCCGTCGCGTCTTTCAGTATCCCCATCTACCTAGTGAACCCAAAAGACTAAACAGCGACGGACTTAACTCTAAGCTCTAGATGGTCTAAGGAATACAAGTGCTACTTATGAGCACAAAATTAGTTTGTTTAACTCATCGATTTTTATAAGTCGCATTCGGAACAGGATCGTAAGACTTAAAAAATTTTGGATTTTCATAATGAACGCACAAAATAGCATCAACAGTTTTGGGTTGGTAAGCTCATCAGCGTTTTTAAACAAAAAATATGACAAGTGCACTTTAAAAAGTATAAACAACCCGACCGCATCAAAAAACACCTCATAATTATTTGTTTATTTACGCCACCAACAGTTTACAAAACGATAACTACTGTAAAGCGTCGAGATACAGTTCATATAACTTAAAAATCACATAATAAATGCATTTACGTAGATCCTTTGTAATTTACACTCAGAACTCATAGAATTAAAGAGACTGTAACTTCACAAAATCTCTTAATAAAAGAATATCGATTATAGCGGTGAGTGCAACAGTAGGTTCGTTCGTAGGGTAGGTAAAAGTCAAGGTTGACCCTTGTTCGTACTCTAGGTCTATTGAAATTTAACGTAGTCGAAAGTGGTGGGAAGTCATACTGCTAATCTGCAACTTTCAGTAAAAGAACTAGAGATTGCATCTTCCTTCAATCGTCAAAATCCATGATTTTGAAGTAACATTTTTTGTGATATCCCTATCGGAGGATAAACACCATCCGTTTTGAGTGATAAATACCAAATCCCAATGGCCACCTACATACTGATGCCGAAAAATCTGCCAATCTTCTTGCCGATGCTTTCCGTGAAGATTTTGTGAATGAACCTGATGGTGATGGTACCCTTCCGCACTTATCCAGCCCTCATAGATGCCTAGCGACCATCTGTAACATAGATTTTCAACCTCAGGACATTGAGAGGCACCTTACTAAACCGATAACTTGTCGTCCCCTGACAAGGATGGGATTGCATTATACAGGGTGTTTCAGTTTATTGTTGCATAACTATAAGATTCGATAGAACTTTTAAAATTAATGCATAAAGTCTATATAAACATGGTTCGAAAAATGCGTAGCTTCCGAAATACAGGGTGTTTAAATTTACTTTCTAAAATAGTTTTTCTTAAATATTTCGAACAATATTTGATGTATAACAGTTGGTATACAAGGGTTTTTTGGTACGACAAAACGAACCATGGGCATAGTTTTACTGTAGCCACTAGAGGGCGCTCTCTACTGTACCTGTAGTGTATTAGAATGACCGAAAATTTTTTTTTAGTGCAATTTTTTGCAATAAACACAAAAAAACGGAATATTAATTTGTTTAATTTTCCAATATTATTTTTAACAAATTAAATTAATTATCTACAACTAAAATGCTATTGGATAGTTAGGACAAACATACAAAATCTAAAGTAGTTGCTCGAAATGTAAACCCAATTGTTCAATACACAATTCACATCTACGAATGATCGAACGTGGTAAAGCATTATTCAAATAAGGCCTTATTTCATCACATGCATTCCTGATTCTGTCTATTAGCATATCTCTTGTAATTACGGGAGTCTGGTACACTTTTTCTTTTAGAAATCTTCGCATAAAGAAATCTGATGGATTTAGGTAAGGGGATCGTAGAGGCCAGGCGACTGGTCCTCCACGGCCGATCCATCTTTCTGGATAATTTTCGTCCAGCCAGTTTCTAACTATTCCCGAATAATGAGCTGGACAACCATCAAGCTGGAACCAGGCCAATCTTCTTATATCTAACATATCATCATCCCACATATTTGCATGTTCAGCCTTTAAAAATTCCAAGAAGTTCGCAGCATTTAACCTTGCAGGCAAAAGGTAGGGTCCAAATAGTCGATTACGGTAGATACCAATCCACACGTTCACACTAAATTCATGCTGAAAATTTCTTTACCGAACTGCATGCAGATTTTCATGCGACCAAATATGTTGATAATGAAAATTTACCACTCCACGTCTAGTGAAGCATGACTCATCGGTCCATAAAACGTTACTTCAAAACTCCCTGTTATTATCAGTTCTATCAAGAATCCACTGACAAAATGTGATTCTTCGTTCTCCGTCCCCTGGCTGTAGTCCTTGCTCCGGTTGCAAATGGTAAGGACGTCTATAGTCATTTCTAAGAACACGGTGAACATGGCTTGCTGAAATTCCCAAGGCACCAGAAACTCTACTAACGCTTGTGGTCGGATCTCTATCAAACTCAAGCAGAATCATACGGGTAAATCTGCGCTGACGAACATTTATGTTTTGATCTCTTTGGAGATTTCCAAAACCGTTTCCAATTATTTGGCGATGCACTCATACAAATACTGAGCGAGTTGGATATCGTCTGTTTGGAAATGTTCGTGCGTATTCTCTGGCTGCTTCTGCCGCGTTTCCATTTACAAAGCCATACACAAAATGAATATCCGCTAACTCTTGATTGGAGAATAAATATGGCATTTTTATAAAACTTACAAAAAAAAAACAGGTAAAAGAAACTAAATTTCGTGCATTTACAATTGCAAAAAAACGTTTCAGGTTTCAACAGACAACAAAACTAACTGTCAACTAATTGACGTTTAACCTTATTCTGCTTTCGATTTCAAAAATATTTGCAGGCACAGCCTACTTCTAAAAATTATCGAGATGCTGACTTTTTTACGTTATTTTATCATAAATAATTAAAAATGCATCGAACCTTAAAAATCGAAATATCTCAAAAACGGCTAACTATAACGAAAATTCACGAGAGAGCTTTTTTATGTTGAAAAGTGCGAAGAATAATTTTTTTTATTCAAAAAGCAAAAAATTGCACCAGGAAAAATTTTTGGGTCATTTTAATACACTACAGGTCCAGTAGAGAGCGCCCTCTAGTGGCTACAGTAAAAATATGCCCATGGTTCGTTTTATCGTACCAAAAAACCTTTGTATACCA